TTGCTGTTGTTCACACCTGTTGTGGTTGCTGGGGCTGGGGAAAGTTCCGGGTATCGTTTGAAAATGGGGGGGGAACTTTTTGAACTCCGGTGAAGGCTTTCTTGGTAGGGTGGGTGTTGAGGCTTGGGGGGTGGCTCGGTTGGGGGATTTGGATAGGCGTTGTGTATTGGGTAATATAACGAAAGAGTGGGGGAGAGGAGGAAGGGGGGAAATAGTTGGAGGGTGTGGTGGTGTGTAAGCTGTTGTTTAGGAGTGGGGGGTGAAGGGGGGGGAGAGCAGTGCGTACAATGCCGAGAGAGGGATATTTACCTACGCGGTTGTGGGTTAGTGTTGGGTGGTTGGTTTGGGGTTGCTAGTGTGTGGGTTGGGGGAGTTGTATAGGCGTTTTGTGTCTGTGTTATAACTGGCCAATTTTGTTACATGTACCAAGAAGACCATTGCCTAGTTCAGAGGCTAAGAACTTTTTGATTATTTCGTTTTTTTTGTCGAGGTCTGTTAGGAGTTGATTGAGTTGTTTCTTCCAGAGGGCGTGGATTTCGGCGTCTATTCGTTGTTTGATGATGACGACTGGGTTTCCTGAGATGGTGAGACGGTCATCGAAGGTGTTATCGCATCTATTTGTCCATATTGCCCAGACGCTGCTTTTCTTGATTTGAGAGGAGAGGAAGGCCTCGGAGCCTTTGAGCGGGGGAGATTGTTTGAGGTCAACGAATAGTGTGGCTGGGTTGATTAGAAGGGGAGAGCCTGATATTTTGTTCCATGATGGTTCTAAAGCTTGCCAGAGGGATCTAGACTTTGGGCAATCTATGAAACAATGGTTTAGGGATTCAGGGGTATCGAGGTTGCATACCTTGCACCATGAGTCCTGTTCTGTTCTGTTTTCGTGATTGCGTCTGCTGGCCAACCATTGGTTCACCGGAACTACTCTGTGTAGGCTATTAGCCATCTCAGACTGGCTAGCTTCACCGGTCTTGTGGAGAAGATTGGGTGTGCGTTGGCTAGTTGTGGTTCCTCCTTTGTCCACCTATTGCATAGCGTGTTGGATATAGATACGAGTCTGGTGAAGAGTCGATATCCTAGATTGGGTGTGTAGTCAGTTAGCTTACATAGGTTTGGGATGAGGGTGGAACCTGAAGTGGGGTTCCATGTCCATTCCGTTGGGTCGATCTCTAGGTGACAGATGCTAATGGGGAGTTTATAAACTCTTTTTCTTTCTCCTTCTATGATTCTGATTGTTCTCAGGTTGTTGGTTTTGAATGCTCCTCCTGCTCTGCTTTTTGCATTGATGTAGCTTACCGGGCTTCTTTTTTTTTTTTCCCTGGTTCCTGTAGGGTGTATATCATACTTGCGGCGCACTGGTGCGGTGCGCGATGCGGTGCGGTGCGCCCTGCGGAATGCGCGCGGTGACACTGCCCGCGCACGAGGTGCGCCGTGCGCGCAGCGCATGGGGACGCGCTACCCCTGCAAGGGTGCGCCCTGTGCGCCATGCCATTTTTCGGCGTGTGTGCGTGTGTGTGTGTGTGTGTGTGTGTGTGTGTGTGTGTGTGTGTGTGTGTGTGTGTGTGAGAGAGAGAGAGAGAGAGAGAGAGAGAGAGNCTCTCTCTCTCTCTCTCTCTCTCTCTCTCTCTCTCTCTCTCTCTGCTGATACCAGATACTGACGATGCAAAGGTGTTGCCTTGACCCCAGTACTGGAGCGCTGAAGACAAAGCTGGAGCTATGGTGGCCCTAGGTGAGTCATCAGGTAAGTCCCAGTGTCTGGCCTCCGCTGCTCTCCCGCTGCAGTCTCCGCTGCAGCCTCCACGATCACCACCTCTGGCCGACCGGTACTGTGCTCAGCGCTGACGACCAACGCAGCATAACGCTGAACAGTAGCTCACACTAACCTGCATAGTGAGAGGCAGACCGGTCTATAAGTACTACTGGTCTGGCCTCTCCTGGGTCCTACTGGCCTAAACGTGAGGCCCAGAACGAATGGCCTGGAAATCAATCAGGCTGTACACTTGGATCGAATATGATGGTCCAAGTGTGGCCTAGAAAAAAAAAGGAGGCCAGGGCCTGAACCGTTACCGGTACCAGGGCCTGGCCCGGCCGAACCTGGTGTGGGCCTAAAATGGCCCTCTCTCTGGCCTGAACAGACCCAGGCCCTACTTCTGGGGCCAAAACCTAATGCACCCGACCGAAGCTAAGTCCCTACCCCTTCCTACGTACCTGACGGGTCCTACTGGGCCCTTGTGGGATCTGCACATGCCACACTTCTCTGTATGGTGCCAGAAATGTTCTGGTCTGCACCACTACCTCTGAGTCTTGAACGAAAAATGACAACCACATGCAGCCACTGGGCTCCTTTTCTACAGCAGCTATGGCTGAACACTCTCCAGGTAAGTTTCCTCTTCCCCCAAACTTTGGATCCCTCCTCTTCTCTCCCTAATCTATGGTGCATCAGCTCCTCCTACTGGGTATGGCTACCACTTCCTCGGTCACTTTAACTATGGCAGCCGTACGATATCTCCACAGAGCTAGCGCACTGGTTCCCAACAGCACTCCAACAAGTGCAAGGCAAAATGCATGTACAAGCCGGGGCAGGGCCAGATTTCATAGTGTTGACTCTGCCCGACCAGCGTCAGATCGCATCCTCGGATGACTTAGATTCTCGATCTGAACGGCCAAGAATTTGTTCCAGCCAGTGTGTGTCTCAAGCCGCTGAGCCCTGGAAGTTTCCGAAAACTGTACCGAGCCTTTGGATTGTGTGGGATCTGTGGCTGCAGTTGACTTCTGAGCAATTCTTGACTATTGGACTTCTGGGTCTGGGCTGGGCCTGACTGTTGATTTCGCTAGGGCCTACTTTGTGACTGCTACAGGCCCTGGGCACCTCGATTTGACCCTCCAATCCAGATCTACCAACCTAAGGACTTCTAGAGACTCTTCACAGACTGCAGATCAAACTTCTCACCACTGAACCGACTTGATCAAAAGTTATGACATTTAGACTGCGTTTTTTTTTCCCGACTTTTCGCAATCCTGGACTCTGACTGGCCCATATTCTACCAGACGTATGGCCACAGTTATGACTCTGCTATTTCTCATGCCCAGCCTTGACTGAGACCTCAAAGTTCAAACGCATGTTCCTGTGGTGGGATTTAAACCCGGGTCACTGCAGAGGACTTACCCGGATTTTACTTATTAAGTTATTATTTAATATTTATATTATTATAATTTATTATTTATATTCTTATTATTTATATTATTGTTATTTATATTATTATTATTTATATTATTTTATTTTATTTTATTTTATTAAATAAACAGGTCCTTATGGTCCAGCCTCCACATCGATTCTGGGGAGCATGAGTCCAGTTCCTTTTCTGCTGGCAAGCCACATGGTAAGATCTTGTTTTTTTCTTTTTCTTTTGTTTTTACATGATGAATCAATGATCATGTATGCTATCATGTCTCCATACACAGAAAAGACTGGAATCCACGGTTTGTTGCAAACAACACACCTTGCAGCCATTTCCATGGCTCTCATCGCAGCAAAGAGATGGGCACCTTTAAACCACCACTTCCTCCAAGCGTCCTTTTGACGAGGCGGAGTCGAACTGCGCACCAACGGGGGGCTGAAGCGCCAGTGCGGCGTTTTTTTTTTTCTTTTCCTTTGTGGTCCGGTAGCGCCCAGCCTCCACCGGCTTCCGAAGAATGTGGTAAAGGGTACTTCACGACTTAGCCTCCCAGCCTGAAAGATAGTGGTGGTTTAAGGGGGCGGGGGGGAGGGAGGGTTGTGTATTCAACTATGGAAAAGCCCCTGCAGCTTCCCCACAGAAAAGAGGAGACAGGTGAAGGTGGGTTATTGCAAGAACAGGCACATAATTTTTTTAGAGATAGAAAGAATCATGGCATAGAAAGAATCATGGCAGACCTGCTCCAAAATCCTAATCACTCACAACACCTACCCACCTAAAAGCCCACCAATCCGAATCCCTGTCACCCTACCTACCTATATGACCGTCTGATCTCTGATGTTCCTTCCCTCTCCCTCCCTGCTCCAATTGTTTGACTGTGATGGTTCTGCAATAGAGAAGGATCTAGCCGTCTCCAGCATTCAGAACTTAATCTTTAGAAAATTCCACTGATCATGCAACAACAAATAGTATACAAGTCAACTGAGAAGCACACAGGTAGACACATCCAGACAACAGCCTTATTTTCCCCATCGACAGTTATTACCGCAATCAGCCATTGGGAGAGGCGGGCAGGGGAGGACAGCATCAGCAAGCGAAACTGTTAATCCAGGGTTTCAAAACCAAAGCAAGGACACAATGGAAGAAGGGAGGTACAGAGGGAGGGAAGCGGGAGGGACAGAAGGGAGGGACGAAGAGAGGAAGAGAGGAAGAGAGGAAGAGAGGAAGAGAGGAAGAGAGAGAGATTGAGTGAGGGAGGCAGGGATGAAAGGAAGAAGGAAGGAAGGAAGGAAGGAAGGAAGGAAGGAAGGAAGGAAGGAAGGAAGGAAGGAAGAAAGGAAGGAAGGAAGGAAGGAAGGAAGGAAGGAAGGAAGAAAGGAAGGAAGGAAGGAAGGAAGGAAGGAAGGAAGGAAGGAAAGGAAGGCAGGGAGGGAGGGAGGGAAGGTACGGAGAGAGGAAGGGAGGGAGGGAGGGAGGGAGGCAGGGAGCGAGGGACGGACGGACGGGTTTGAGTGTGTGTGCGAGTGGGTTGTGTGTGGTGTGTGGGAGAGTGCTGCCCTTCGACCCTGTTGTTACTCAATGGGGGTGGGACAAGGAAGAAAGGAAGGAAGGAAGGAAGGAAGGAAGGAAGGAAGGAAGGAAGGAAGGAAGGAAGGAAGGCAGGCAGGCAGGCAGGCAGGCAGGCAGGCAGGCAGGCAGGCAGGCAGGCAAGAATGAAGAAAGGAAGTAAATGAATAGTCCCAAGACAAGGGGAGCACAACCAAGGATGGAGAAAAAGCATGGGTGAAAGAGAAGGAAGAGGAAAAGACAAATCGCAATGATTACCCGTTGTACAAGAGTGGACTTTTTCGGCTTCCCTACATATCGATGTCCTGTGATCTTCATGAAGTCTTCCTGGATCTCTTTACGACTAAGAAGTAAGTATAGCTTTGGCAATTTCAATGGGGGAGGAGGTTCCAGCTCTTCGACTTTATGCCTCTGCGCAACCCTTCTCGACCTCTTCATCCCCCTCCCAGCACTGATAACAAGAGAATCGACATCCTGTCTGTGTTCCACAGAAAAGACCGACAGAACAAGATCTTCAGCAAAAGTGATGGCCACCGTAACCTAACCAACACTTCAACCCATAAGGGGCTTTGCATTCCTATTTGTTTCCTCCCCCCCCCCCCCCCCCACCCTCCCCATACACAACAACATACAATCAAGACGTTGCATAAAATCAGTAGTTTGCGGCAAGCATATGGTGCCTTTCTGTCTGCCCGACAAGCCCTGAACCTTTCTTGAAGTTTCTTCCATGACTTCATTTTCTTTTCGATCTGACCGATCGACTGACCAACCAACAGACACACACAAATTGGAAAAAAAGGCAGATGGATGGCCCGACGGATGGATAGACAGACATACAGAAAGGCAGAGAGATTCAAACTACCGTCTTTCCCCGAACATAAGGCACCAGGAAAATGAATGTATACAAGCTAGCTTCCCGGTCCGATACAGTCAAGATGGGTATGCGTCATGTTCGAGGGAAGACGGTAAGTATTACCAAGCTGGACGATACAGGCTTTCCATGCAATTGTCAACTCAACTAGTCATTTGCCACAGCAGTATGGAGGTGGGTCAGGGAAATGAGGGTGTAATTCTCCTATGAAAAGCACTTTTATGGAGATGTGCAAGGGACCTGACTGTCCACAACTTGCCAGAGTGTATCACATTGCATGCCAAGATATCATTCACACAGATTTTGAAGCTTCACACAAAACAAAGCCGAGATGGGATGAGAACCAAGGTAGTGCAGCTTATATTATCACAACAACATTATAAAGAGTATCTCGAGTTCAAGAGTAAAGCGCCGAATAGTATCTTAAGTCTCCCTCGTTCATCAACACCACAGGGGCCTGGCTCTGCCAGCGCCTCCTCCAGATGACAATGCAGCGCGGAACAGGTAAGTATCCACCATAGCCAACTCAGGAACCTGTCCCTCTCTCTCTCCTCTTGCTCTTCTCTCTCAAGATCCCTTGTCTTGGTCCTCTCGTCCCACCATGCATGCACACTCCTACTACGAGAATCTACTCTGAATGCTACTCACTGAAGACTACCTCTAACCCTTCTACATCTACTAACATGCTGGCGCAGCTATGGCTGCTTCTGCCAGCCAGCGCCCAGCCCCTTCTCTCCTCTTGCGCAGCTTCTTCTGCCAGCGCTTCCTCAGCCTGCTAGCGCACAAGTGCTTTCAGCACTTCCACGCAACAATGCCACTGGAGATCTGTCATGTGGGGAGGCTGGCCTGGTTTCTTATACTGCTGGCCTCCCTTCGCGAGGTCTGCATTGGCACACTTGGGTCTTCCCTGTCCCAGACCTCTGCAGTGTGTGTCCCAGTACCTTTTCCTTCAGGGTCTGCTGCTGCGGCGGCCTTCAGGCCTGAATTTTGGACTTCTTACCTGTATCTAGACTTTCCCTTTGACTTGAATCTGAACTGGGACCTCACACACTTACTGCACGAACAGACACATCTATTGCACGAACAGACATGACTAGCACACCCTCTGGATGAACAGATGTGTCTCTCACAATTGAATACTGCAACTGTTCGTCCAGGGGCACAACCGTGACCTTCGACATGACTTTTGCTTTAGTTAGGATGTGACTTTTGACCCAGAGCACATGCCTTTTGATCTGCTTTTCACGAGTTGGGCTCTGGCCGAGTGACTCCACTATGCTGCATTCGTCATTCAGGGTCTGAATCGGGTAAAGGCCCTTTTAGATGAGACCACTTGCAAAGATAAATCTCACAAAACAATAAAAAGTTTTGGAACTTTTTTTTTATATCTTTCCTTTGAGATGATTGATCGCACTTCAATGGAAATTTCATGGGACTGTGGTGGCATTAGTGACACCTTACAGCCAACTGTCGACTTATGTGCCACCTCACATCGCAACCAGTTACTCGACCAAATCAGACTCCAGTTCGCAGTTTTATGTGCCACTGCCCACCGTCAAGATGAGTGTGTCGAGGGATATGCACAACAACTAGAAGGAATATTCACCTCGAAATTAATAGACACCCTCGCCACAATGAAGTCAGGAGGTGGTGGTGGAGGTGGAGATGACAGTGGTGATGATGGGAAGGGAGGCAAAGGCCCTAAAAAGGAAGGAGATCCGAAGGGGAAAGAAAGACCATCCAAAGGGAGAGAGAGGAGAGAGAAAAAGGGAAGAATTTTTCTATCAGTGGGAGGCGCACATGGGCACCTACCTGTACAGACAGTTGATACCATACTTCCTGGCCCTAAAGAATCGGTTTGAGGACAAAAACCTGGCCAGACGTACCGAGCATCTGATCCTCAACATAGCCGATCGAAAATGGAAGATTGTGTTGGCACTTAAGGCCACTATGGACGAACTTGCAGTACCCCGAGCATGGTCTCACTCCAGCGCAGATCTTGAACAACTTTGCACGGGCACTTCCCGGACCCCATCGATCCCAACTGTATGCCCAAACCAAGGAAGAGCGCATGACATACGAAAAATTTAGTAAGATGGCCGTAGACCACGTCGGCTTCCTCCAAAAGGCAAACTATTGCCATTACTGGAAGGACTTACAGAAAGGAGGTCACTGGAAGAACAAGACGATATCTGGGAGCATAGCCGGAAAGGATAGTCTTCTGGTCACGTTCGAGGGTGGTGGAGTTGAGGAACTGCCCTATGAAAACATAGATTACGGACTGGAAGAGTTTAACAGCAACCAAGTAGCCCAGGGAGGGGACTATTCGGCTGCTGCAGCCCGCGGGGGAGGGCGCGAAGAAGGAAGCGGAGGTCGAGGAAGAGGAGGTCGAGGAAGAGGTGGAGGAAGAGGAGGTGGCACCCAGGGGAGTAGTAGCAAAGCGAGCTATTACGCGGGAGGTAGGGGTTATCGTTCCCTGCAAGGTAGACGCGGTTCCTCCTCCATAGGTGGAAGAGGTAGAGGGCGCAGTCCATGGCCAGAACATCTAGGAATTGCAGACGGGGGAGTCATGGAAAGAGATGGGCATCGAGAAATCTTTGTGTGAGAAAAGGCTTAAGGCCAACCAATGCCTAAAATGTGGTGATCCCAACCACATTGTTTGTTTCTTCCTTGACTACAGACATCCAAAAGGGAGCAGCCAGTAGGAGTCGTAGTCGCTCCTATTGGACCTTCAGGCACAGACATACAGACAGAAGCACACGCTGAACAGGCACCCTCCTATCTGAAGGCCCCTATGGCAGAGACTGACGTAGACCCCCACCCAGTTAGCTGTCCGGAGACCGCTTGTGCTAGGGTCTCTCTGGGTGGTTCCCTCGCAGGCATCGGTGATGAGCTGATCACTTGTCCCCAAGCTTGGGCCGAAATGAAGGAGAAGAGTAAAGGGCGGCTAATTTTCGCAAATGTAGAAATTAGTAGGGAACGAGTAGGCGCGGTAGTTGATAGTGGATCTACGCGTAGCTACATTAGCCGAAGGGGATTGCAGAAGATGCACCTTGGCATGAAGGTTATGAAATTGGACGAGCCGGTCGTGAGCAGACTCGACAATCGCGAAATGAGAGTTGAAGAGTACGTTGAAGTGGTAAAAGCATACTTCCGGTTGGGAGGGGGAACAAGGTAGAGAGAGTTTTGCATCCCCTGACCCCCTTAGTGGAGGACAGACTACCTTTTGACCTTATTCTAGGGATGGATTGGGGAGAGGCTGTGAGGGCTGATGTGAAGATGGGCGAGCATGAGTGCTGGCTACCCGGCCCTGAAGGACGTAGAAAGAAAATGCGGCTGTTTCACGAGTTTGGAGTAGAGTCCAATTTGTCCCTTTGTTGTATGAGTGCCCTTGCGTTCGCCAGGCACGTGGTCAAGGCCGAATTGGTTGACCAAGTCTTCGTAGCATATGTTAGACCGGTGAATGAGGGTAAGGAGGAGGAGGAGCCAACACCACCCACAGTTAAAAAACTGTTGAAAGAGTTAGCCGATGTGGGAGAGACCCCGACAGGAGTAGTGGAAAGCGAAATCAAGCACCGGATAGAGATAGAGCCCGATAGCAAAACTCCCAAGAGGCCCATCTGCCAAATGTCTCCCAAAGATCTCGATGAGTTGCGCAAGCAGCTTGATGATGGATTAAGCCCAGTTCATCACCATATGGCGCAGCAGTCCTATTTGTGCCTAAGGAGGGTGAACTGCAAATGTGCATTGACTATATGGGTTTAAACACGATTACGGTGAAGAACGCAGAACCGTTGCCTCGGATAGATGATCTGCTGGATAGGGTGCAGGGATGCAAGTATTTTTCCAAGATTGACTTGAAACCCGGCTACCATCAGATTGAGGTGCAGCCCGTAGATCAACACAAAACAGCTTTTACGACTCGCTACAGCCACTACGAGTTTGTGGTCATGTCGTTTGGTCTGAGGAATGCCCCTGCTACCTTCCAAAGATGCATGAACGATCTCTTCCCTGAATGGCTACATAAGTTTGTAGTCGTTTATCTAGACGATATTTTGATTTTTAGCAAAACTTTAGAGGAGCACCAGCAGCATTTGCGTTTGATCCTAGAAAAGTTGCGCACTGCGAAGTTCAAGGTGAAACCGAAGAATTGTGAATGGGTGAAGCAGCAAGTGCTATATTTAGGCCACGTGTTAGATGGAGATGGAGTCAGACCGGAAGACGCAAAGATAGCAGCAATCAGAGATTGGCCAAAACCGCACACATTGACCGAACTGCAGTCCTTCTTACTTAGGATTAGCCAATTACTACTGAAAGTTCGTACAGAACTTCACAATGATTACCGCACCACTGCGTAAACTGCTGAGGAAGGAGACAGTTTGGAATTGGGACAAAGACTATACCTCAGCCTTCAAGAAAATGAAGAAGTCATTCATTGCGTACCCGGTCTTGAAAGTTGCAGACCCATCACTTTTGTTCATTGTCACGACTGACGCAAGCCAATATGGAATTGGCACCGTAGTCCAGCAGAAGGATGGAGAGGGGTATCGGCCCGTCAAGTTCATGTCTTGTAGGTTGCCTAGTGAGAAGGCCGCTGCGTCAACTTA